TGGGAATGCACCTACAATGTGAATTTCAGACCCCTCCATGATTTCGAAGTGGGAGAACTTGCAAAATCGCAGGGTGTTTAAATACTTCTGTTTCTCATTGTAGGTCTGCATCATCCACCAATGATTGCAGTTCTTACTCTGTGTAAGCAACACTGCAAAAACCATTTGGAAAAAGTTTGGTGCAGCTACATAACGTGTCACATTAGCTGTCAGGCTTTGCAAACGGAGGCTCACTCACTGTGGACTTGTCAATGCTAAGAATCAGAAAACATTCACCTGAGAAATCTGATTGGCTCTGTACTCTGCCATTGCTTTCAAGTAATCCTTCTTCGCTGCTTCGTTTTTCCTCTTGTAAACCTAAAAAAAGAGACAGTGTTTAAAGGGTTCTTTCCCATGACATATACAATGTGTGAAAACATCACTTATTGCAACACCCCTGTATAATCATACTTAAAAACATATCAAATCTCCTGTTATGTCATATTTCCTACAAGTTGTGCTTGTTTTACTGTTACCTGTTTCTGCTCATCCCCCAGACTGTCCCACATGGAGGCCACTATCTTAGAAACCTCTCCGAACGTAGCGTTAGGATTTTGTCCCTTAATAGCTGCCTGTGTATCCCTGAAGAACAAAGCGTAGGCCGACACAGGTTTCTGAGGCTCGCTGGGGTCTTTCTTCTTCTTCCCTTTCTTCCCTCCTCCTGCTCCTCCTTTCCGTCCAACAGCTGGAGAGATGCTTGAGGTCGGGGCAGAGAGTGGGGACTCAGACAGAGAAGGATCAAGGGAGATGACTCCGGGAGAGACAGCCAGAGAGACTGGAGATTCAACTAGGACACTCTGATTTGAGGGGCAGAGAACGATGAATGTTAGAAAAAAGAATAAACATCATTTCCATAAAATCTGCATGATTATTAGTATTCTGAATCCAGTCCAGTATAGAAGACATGCTGAATCAAAACATACTGGTATCATGCCTGTATGTTCAGAATTGACAGAGTTAGGACAGAGGAAAAGAAAAGACTTGCCCTTCTGAAGTCATCCATGTCATCATCCTGCAGCGAGCTGGTGGGTGATGCCGTGGCCGACAGAGGGTGTTCCGGCGACTGAGGGCGTTGTAAGATGTTCCCGCCCCCAAGGCCAAGTCCCAGCTGAGCACTGAGATCTGACTGGTCGATAGTGGTCAGCTGGTTCGACCCCAGCAAGCCCTGGCTCATGTCAGCCAGCGGGGCATCAATAGTCACTGGGGAGGAGCTGCTGAACTGAGAGCCAATGGGATGGCCAAGATCCTGGGGAAAGAAAGAAAACGGAAGCCAAACAAAAAAGTGAGTGTATTAAACTCATGGGATTATTTCGGAGGGTTAAAATGTCCATCACTCCTCACCATTCCTAGTGACGACCCTAACAAGGCGCTTCCTCCTGGCTGGCTCATGACTTCCAGGCTTAGGTGCTCAAGGCCCTGTGAGGGGGCGCTGACAAAAGTAGAGGCAAACGAAGGATCGTCCCCTTCAACCACAGCGTTCCTGGGTACCACCACACTGTCGGAGGGACCTGTGCCTGACAGCTCCCCAAAATGGGACACAACATCTGACACGGTGAGGGCTGAGTCTGGATCCAAAGAGATGGGAGGTATCTCAAACTCCTCATCGCCGAGGCTGGGAGTGTGAAAAGTCTGCGGAGCAGGAAAGGGTGGTGAAAAGGGATGATGACAGAAAAGAAGAAGAAGGATGGAGAACAAGAGAAAACATGGCGAGAAATTGGGATGGAGCGGAGTAAACAACTACTTTAAAAGAAAAGTAATAGAGCTGCAAGAAAGTTGGAAGAAGACTGCGCTCCATGATTACAACTTCCTTAAGAGTAAAACTTTTGCTCTTTGAGAAAAAGGTTCATCAAAAGCCCATAGACTGTATATGAAGATGGGTGACATTAACTTCTCAAATGCCAGCAAGCCATTGCCCCCTGGTAGCTGTTTGCACTATAGGTCATAAACCTCACCACCTCCATGTTAGCAGATGGGACATAAGTCAAACAAAGAACTCAAATTACAAATCAAATACATTTTACCCAAAGATGAATTCAGTCACTTTAGGTGGTTATCATGCTGCTGATGTGTGCACAAGAGGACAGTGAAGTAAGTAATAAAAGTTTGTTTTCAACTATTTATTTGATGATATTAAAAGGGATGGATTTCACAACTTGACAACTTTGACTAGTGGCCCGATACCGCAGCTCCTCTGGTCACTCACTACTGCGTACAGCAAAATGGGTCACAAAAGCAAAGATGGCCACCCCCATATTACCAATATTTTCACTTTTGCATATAGAAGTGGTGACAGGTCATCCATCGTTAGTTACTTTGAGATTCATTTTCTAAGATTCTTAGGCTGAAATACTGCATCTTTGTTTAGGGGTCTCTTATCACAAACCAAGATTAGTAGGAGGGCCAGCTGGTGTTGGGCTTAACTCAGTTTCTCAGGTATCCATCAGTAACCCTTTATCCATATTCTTTATAATTAGTACCAAATTGTGTGGGCCTTTCCAGGAAATATTCTGGTAATTAACAACTAAACACCAGTAAATTTTTAAGAAATCATAATAAAAGATTCCTGGGGTGGTGTTGGAAGACACAAGACCTGTAAAATAAAGTGTTACGTACAACTTTATTAAAAAGGTACCTAAATTTATCCCGCAGGTGTGTAAAACAAAGTATTACTAGAAGGTCCAGTGAGGATGAAGAGGTCAATTGCTTTTCGAGGGACATTAAAAATGTCAATAAGTCGCACTGAAGTGGAGTACAAGTGTCTTATTTGTGTCTCATAACTGTGACAAGATGACTGATATGAACTTGAGGAGCCAGTGTTATTAATAGATCATACATGGGCCTTAATTTTCAAGATTTACACATCACAAAAAATGTAAGCAATACTAAAAACTGTCCAGTTGTTGCAAGCAACCAAAACGCAGTACATCTCCTGTCTTATATTTTAATACTAGGAGTCATGTGCCTCAGGTTCAACCACTGTTGGTGATTGAAAGGCTAAACATATAAGCTGGGGTCTCCATAACAGGAAACAAACCCCAGGCAGAGAATAATTCAGTGCACATCTTTCAAGGTGTAAAGGCCTACCTCTGAGGAGGAGAGGAAGGGATGGCTGGACCCCGAAATTGTCAGGTAGTTGTCACTGGCTCCAGGGAACTGAAACATTCAGGTGCCCAAGTTAGGAAACAACAGTTATTCTAATATTTTCCCGATATTGTCCAAACCCAGAATTCATCTACAGTTTTGACATAGACAGGGACATTACCAGTCAACAAAAACACGGCGAGGCCGTGGAGCTACAAACACCAGCCATTACACAAACCACGCAAGCTGAAGCAGTCCATTAAACTAAAACACACCGAGACGTTCAGTGGCAGCCTTTAGTTAGATAACATATACACAGCCTCTGTCTGTGGGCGACACACATGTGCCTCATTCATAACATAATCACCTTGTTGTCGGAGTCAAACCCATTGAAAGACTGCGGATCCAAGAACTCTGGGTCACCATCGTGCTGCCCGGTACCGTCCGTTAAATCCGAATAAAAATTGAGGTCCATCTTTTTAACCGGGCCTCATATGTTAGCAGTCAAGCCCCTGTTCAGTTTGACAAGCTGTTACGCAGTTAAACAAATCCCCTAGCTTTACCTATGCTTTAAATGTCGCGGTAACGTGGGTTCACACAGATATTTGGTGTAAAGTCCAAACACCGTGTCAGGATTAGCTACACTTCCACTGAAACCGCCGTGGAGTTGACAGCTTTGGCACAGATGTTGGACTAGTTGGCACGAACCTGAGTATGCGTTTGCTAGCAATCGTGCCAAAAATATCCTGCCGGCTGTCTGGCTAGCTACCGAGGTAACGTGGCTGCTGCCCGTCTTTCTTGCTGACCTGTCCTACCGCTGTTTAGCGTTAGCTGGTTTTTGACGCAAGGCTGCGGTACTGCTCGCTTCACGACCAGTCTGGTGCCCGGTTGTCTGTCGGTCCCCAAACGTCTCATTCAGTCAACGGATACAGTTACATTAAATTAGCAAATCAACTGTGGTTCGATAAGTCTACAAAACGACAGTGATAATTTCAAGGTGTTTGACAGCTAAGGTAGACAGACCGAACACCCGCTTTCGCTTCGTGTTAGCCCGGGCCAGGCTGCTCAATAGATCCCGAGCCACGAATCATGGATGGTGTAAACAATAAAAAGTCAAACTACTCGAGAACAACCTCTGGATATTGAGCGATGCGGATTTCAAAATAAAATCAGAACGCTAACTTTAAACACCCAGATACTTATACCCGACATTACGGACAGCAGAGACAGTCAAACCCTTTACTTAGGGGAACAGTGTAGATAAACTCAGTTACAAGTATATAATTCTCATTTCAAAATGTTACTAATACATTAGTATTAGCATCGAAATGTACCAAACGTAAAAGTACTCATTATGTAGAATGGTACATTTTACATCAATGTATATATCATAGTATTGTATTATAATTATAGATCCATTATTGTGGTCACCCCTTTAATGTTGCACCTGGTAAAGGTGGGAGTAGTTTTTCTTATATTATTAGAATATGAACTACTGCTGCGTATTGTGATTTTTACCCCAGGGACCAACAGTCTTATGATTATACTGCATTTTGTTTGATTAGCCTGATTCTGAAAAGTAACTAAAGATATCAGATAAATGCAGGGTAGTAAAAAGTACAACATTTGTCTCTGAAATGCAGTGGAATTGAGGTTTGAAGTAGCAGAAAAAGGAAGTACTAAAAGTAAAAAACAAATATCTCAAAATTATATTTAAGTACTGTATTAGAGTGCATGTGCTCAGTTACCTTCCAACACTGCATTACAATACTACCCACAACATGGCCAAATTAACCTCTTTGGGGCAAGGATGGATTAATGGCACACATGCTCAAGGACCCTAGAAGTCCAGGACACCCTGTGCTGGAGATCCTGTTTAAAGTGACTGTTAAAATGACTTGTTGCAAAGTCAGTTCAAACAACTACAAAAATTTGCAATAAAGAAAGAAGGAAAGAAAGAAAGACAGAAGGAAAGGAAGAAATAAATAAATAAAGAAAGAAAAAAAGAAAGAAAGAAAGAAAGAGAATAAATGACTACAAAGGCACACAGAATGCTTATAAGAAGATCCAAAACAATCACTTAGAGACTCAAAACAACCACATTAGTGATCACAAAGATACACAAAATACCCTCAAACAAGCCGAATAACCACAAAGAGAGGCACCCAGTTAAAGTGCAAACCAGAATCTCAACAGACAGGACAAGGGGAAAACGCCCTTTCTTGCCCAGCTGGTAATGAGGGGCAAAATGTCACAACTCATTAGGTGAGAGCATTATTTACAGGGCATGTTGAAAGCTTTTTTTATTATCATGGAATGACTTTCGAAACATGAAGCATCAAAATGTATATTTCACTGTTTTCTCACAATACAGGATAATCCTTTATCATTACTCATCTGTATATCAGTACAGCAGAGATTATTGCAGATTTTATTTTATGGCAGATATAGGTGTATATGTTAACAGTAGGTTACAAGAAGTTACAAAAGGCTACAGAAGTGCCAATGTCTTTATTTGGGAGGTGTCACTAATGTTACTCTATTGTGGCCCAAATGTTTATAATATAGGCTCGCCCACACTAATGTTTATTATAGTACAGTAACTTTATTTTGTTTTTCTGTTTTATACAATTTACTTTATGCTTTTTCTTGTCATAACTTTAACGTAACTTAGCTGTATTTGTGTTGTTGTTGTTCATGATTGTTACTGCAACTAACTAGTACTTTCATTGACCCGTGTCCAAAATGTTTAATTATGAGGTTATGTTCACATAATATTTAATATTCTTCATCTTATGTCAACAGGTTTATTAATGACTATTTTGTTTTGAAAGACAGTGGCCTGTTATTACGTGTTTAACGATACTAATTCAATCTGTGACCACACTCGAGTCACAGGGCTAATCTTCTTTGAGCTTTGGCAATTGTAACTTGCCGAAGGTTTTATACCCGTACCTTCGTTTCATAACACTCACCGAAATTCTGAAGGTATTTCCAGAATCTTGATAAACTCTTCTAACGATACGGAATCAAACATATTCCGGTCCACTCCGGAAAAAATGTAATTTTAATCAGTTTCTGGGGTCATACATTTTCTTTTCAGTAAAAAAAAGATGGCGACAGGAAATGACGTTGAAGCTCTGGCTTTGTGTGAAAGCTGCTCTAATCCGTTAAAGTATTATTTAAACAAGTTCAATAATAATTTCACTTTCAATTTCCAATAGCACACTAAATAATACAATAACAATATAATAAGTTTCAATAATAATAATTCATGGCCAAATTTCCAAGGAAAAGGCAAAACGGATGACGTCATTTCTTGTCACCGTCTTACCCTAACTGAAAAGAAACTGTATGACCCAAGAAATTCATTACAGTTATATTTTTCCTTCACTGGACTAGATTGTTAGAATCGTTAGAAGAGTCTATGATTATTCGGGAAATACCTTAAGAATTTGGGTGTGTTGTCAAATGACAGTATTGGGTTAAAACCTCCGACAAGTTTCAGCTGCGAAAGCTCAGAAAATTTGCTCTTTGACTTGAATATATGCAATACATGAGAATTACAAGCTGGGGCTCTAGTTAAGCATCAGACATTAAGACAAAGATGATTCATTTATCATGTCAAACGTTTTTAATACCAACTACTCTTACCTCCATGTTCACCTCCGAAATCTGTTTGTTTTGTTTTTATTCCACTTTTTGCTAGTGAACTTCGCCCAGAATTGATTTCCTCAAATATCACAACATGGAACCGGCTTCCGAATTGTACGTACAAGTGGAAGTGACGTCAGCGCGCAAATTGAAACAGTCTTTCCAAAATAAAAATCAGTTAAATTGACTGCAGTTTCTTGGAGGTTTCTGCAGCATTCAAGTTAAATGTTGACTATGTGTTTATGTTTGTTCATTAAAACGTTAGTCCCTTAGTTTACGAAACATCCATAATTGTGACATCCAGTGACAAGCCTTAAATCACATTTGAGAAGGTGGAATCAGAAAATATTTGGCATTTTCATGAGCCTTGTTTGAATAATGATTGAAACAATTAACTGTCAAAATAGCTGCCAATTATTTATATGTCAATCAGCTAATACGACTATCATTAAGTATGACCTGGCTTAGATAATCGGTGAGTGGATGAATGAATTAATCAATCAGAAATAAATATCAAAGCCCCAAGTGACTTCTTCAGATTACTTGTTTTGTTCAGAAAACCCCAATCCAAAACCCAAATACATTAAATGAACAATAATATAGATGAGAAATTTTAAATTGTTACATTTTTATCTGATAAATGACTACCTTGTGTATCAAAATTGTCTTAACAAAAAGGCGCCTCCCTATCAACGGACAAATCTAAGCATCTTGATCATAAATGCTGATTAAACCAGCTGATAAATGTTGATATCAGCCAGCAAAAACATTCTTACATAGTTTAACATGGCAATAAAACAAAAGGACCACAACACTTGTAATTTTCTTTCAAAATTACTTTATTGCCATATTTTTTCGAGCAAAGTTTTTTTATGATTCCTTTTTATATTAATGTATTTTAAAAAAGATAAAACTTCGAATCTTTTTTGTCTTTATGTACAAGCAATAAAACAATGTTTAGGAAATTACAATGAACATAAAAGAATCCCTGTATGATAACACTGTATAAAAGAAAAAAGACAAAAGCATCCGAGTGGAATCAAACACCTCTAGTTTACAGCTCCTACAATCCATCCACACACCCTTTCAGAAACATACACAGGACTTTCTATAGTTGTGAGAATACTCATTGACATAATGCATTCCCGAGCCCCTTAAATTAACGCCAACCATCACAACTAAATGCCCAACCATTACCCTAACCTAATTCTACCCTTAATCCTCAACCAGCCCTTTGAATCTCTTCACAATGATGATTCTGAACTAAAGGTTGTCCACACAACCACAGAAAGCCATGTACACATGCACCCAGACAAAGCGTTATGTCAGCAGGTTTATTTCAGGTGTATGGTGAGGTGGAGAGTTTCAGGGCACACTACACAGCGCAGCACAGCCAAAATTCTCATTAGAGGGAATGGTAAACACTATTTTACTGAGTCAAACGAACACATGTACCAGTCGTATGTCACATGTACACATACAAGTCACTTCTCTCTGAGTGACAGTGACATTTTGACAGCATGCAGTGCAGTGTTCCTCTCCACATTGGTCCAGTGAGTTAACAATACTGTTTCCAAATTCATACATTTCTGAGGCCTTCGCAACAACAACCACGAAGGTTGACCTCACTTTTTCCAAACACATCTTACCATCTACGGTAACATAAAACTATTCACAAGCAGCCCAACACGGGGCCAGTTTATGGCATGGCACAGAAAAGGATTCCTATCATTTCCCTTGCATTAGTTTAATTATGAATTTTCCTGGGATGTCTGTTGACAGAGACTAACCCTATGGTGCGTAAAGACAGCCCTCTGTCTTGATTTAAATAACCAAGATATACCTATCCCACAGCTGAAAACGCATAGTGGCAGAACAGACTGCTGGTGTTTGACTGTTTTACAGATAAAGATATGTCTAGTGTAACTGTAAATAACTTGTGGTATATGCTTTTGTCAGATTATAACAGGAGTATGGAAGCCCAGTTCTGCAAGGAAAGACAATACTACTGATAAAAAAAACTAGACATCACAAAAAGAATAAGTTATCCAATAAAAATTCAAAATCATGATAGTAACCTTAATATTTTTAACTTAAAATTTGACTTGTATCTAAAAAAAAAAAAAACAATTTTGACTTTTGTGAATCAAAATGTGTAATCATTTTTGTTACTTATTTTCTATGAAGTCAGTGTTTAGAGTTTTATCTCACTTTAAACATTAAATCATATTTTTGACTTCTCTAGTAATAGTTTTCCCTAATTTTTTTTTGTCTATACATTTTGACTCTCATACATTTGACTTACTGAGCCAATATTCAGACTTTTGATCTAATAATGTTGACCATCTCAGTATTGACTTAGCTAGTCAAAAATCAAAATTGTGATATAGTGAAATTTTTTACTTTGATTTTACAATGACTAACTTTTCATCTTTTTCCCCCCCATGACAGAAATTGACTTCCACAGGTGACAACAGATTCTAAGCAATAGCAGCAAGATCAGACAAACACTCAAAAATTAGAATGTAATTCATGGTCTCTCCACTTGGACCCTAGACAAAGCTAATTTTGAGGTTAGCGTGTAGCTAAGTGGAATGGAAACCTTTGTCATGGCTCAAAATTGTAAAGATGAAAGGAAACAGGGCTGAGTGGCAGCGTCAGGCATGATGACTGACACTACAGCCAATCACAACGTTTCATTTTAAGCCCACGGCCCTGGAGCTCACAGACCCCACACCTAATCAGGAGTAAATGGTGATGACTTCACTTCCTCCACCTCTGACCAACAGGACTCGCTCCAATCCTTCAGTCAAAACCTCGAGGAACTCCATGTCTGGTCAGAGAGTCAAGGTGCATACAGCACAAAAATATTATACCACATCATCCAGAAAGTGCTTTCTGATTGGCTGCCTGCTGAAGGCAACAGCTGATCTTTTGCTAAACCCCTCTCCTGAGCTTTGGATTCCTCCAGATGTTGAAGTGGTGTGCATGAAGCTGGAGTGATGACACATTTAAAGAGTGTGTCTTGTAAACACTTTCCCAAAACCAAAAGTGGGCAAAAGTGAGAGGAATGGATTAAACAGTGTGTCTGCTCTACAGTAATGTAAACTGTGAATGTTACCAGGTATCACTCACTAGCTTACTTACTCATACCTGCAAACTGAAAAGGGAAGAACAATGTGACAGTACAACCTGCCCCCGGCGGATAATTTTTGGTAATGACACAGGTTTGTTATCATTTTAATTGTTATTAAAGATTAGTCCATTTCTGGACACCCACAAAAAAGCCACTACATTTGCTACGCTTTGTGATAAGGATACAGTTCTCATCCCCCTCTAAGTTCCTGGGGGGTCCTGGCATGTTGAGCAGAACCAGCCGGGCATCGTGGGATTTGTTGACAATGACCTCATTGAGTTTGACAGCGGTGTGCATCCGCCTGACATTGGAGTGGTCCCTGAAAAAAAAAAAAAAAAGAGAAGGTACATTTAACAACCTGATTATAATGAACTACTTTCTGAGAGAGAGAAATATTCTCCCTTTTGTGCTCACGGCCTGATGCAGAGCATGTCTCTGAAGCCCTCGGGTGTGGAGCAGCCAGATTGCATGGTTCTGTGCTGTAATGTCTTCTCTTTGGTCCAAGTCATCTGAACTTGACGTTGGTGCTCGGAGCTGCTGTCGCCGCTCACTGCCCTGTCTCGCTCCCCGCCATCAGTGTCATCGTCATCATCTGAGCCGATGCTTGTCAGACGCAGCATGGAGTTACGGTCCTTCACCAGCTGGGCCTGGTTTGGTAGATGGACACACAAACGTGTTCTTTTTTTATCCTGTCACGTGTTTGACCTTTTTTCTGCCTCTCTCCTCTACATCACAACTCTCTCCATCCCACCTACTTACTCCTGTTTCTCTTTTTCTTTGTACCTTTCTGTCTCCATTTCCTTTGCAGGTCTTTGAAGTGTGGACTCCAGTACACCTGTACCTGGGGCAAAGATACACCTACCAACAACACAAGCTCTTCTAGCTTGCTACAAATAAAACAAAGGCCAGTCTACTCTAGCAGAAGTACTGGAGCATGACTACAGGGACACCACAGTGCTAGTCTGGACCTTTCTAAAAAGACTTTTCAAAAGCTGCCCGAAATTCAGGAATGAGCAATGACAAGGGTCAAAAGCCAAATGGAGGAGGAAAAGAAAGAGTGGAATAACATTTCTTAATGCTCCTTTTTCAAGTCAGCCAATTTAGAGTGTAACAGCTTGCTACAGCACATACAAGATAAACTCAACTGAATCCTTCAAATAAAGAATCGTTTACAAACTGAAACTTTCAGTTGAGCAATTAGTGGAAACCTCATTATTTAAAATGCTAAGTTGGAATGTAATAAAAATTTGGTTTTTAAAATCTGCCTGCTGTTTTCACTGAAGAGGTCAACAGTCAGGGTCAACTACATCAAAGCAGGAAGGATTCACCCTATTCACTCTGCCAATGTGCTGCTCAAACATGCACATTTGTACAGTGTAATTTCAAGATGATGCATCCTACTTACATTAAAATGTTTTTTTTTTTTAAATCTGCCTTCTTTGGTGGTGCGGGGTCCAGAATGGCCACTTTGTCTGCATCAGGCAGCTGATGCTTCGCTACTGTGTACCCAACTTACGTCATCAAAACTCCAGCGTACCCGCTGCGGAGCCCAGTGACAAAGAGAGTGGACATGAGCTTTAATAATGAAGTTGAATGTGACATGTTCTTCCCACTATTATTTGCTAAAGGTTGCATGAAACAAAAATGTCATTTTGTGTCCATACCTCGTGTCCTTCAGAGACATAATCCAGTTGGCTGCAATGTACCTGGCTTTACGTGTTAAGTCAAATACCTATCATTACTGGCCTTAGTGATGCTAGGTATGTATCCAAATGTAAATTAGATATATACAATAATAAGGACCCAAACCCAATCACTTAATCTAATTGTGATCCATCACCAAGAGTAATACAAACCAACTCCCTGTCACACAAACATACATTCTATAGGTTGCCAGATCACATGTACAGAAGTCATTTGATGTTGTGGAGACACTTTTGGGATGTGTCCTGGCAGTCGTTTTAAATTCACAAACAGTGCACATGCATAGCAATTTTTCCATCTGACCTAACCTTACCTCTCGTTCTCGGTCTGATTTAGACAGTCGCATCCGTCTGAGCATCTGAGACCTTTGCTCCATCATCAAGGTCCTTTCATAGGTGTAGGCACTGATATCACTGTCATGCTGTGAGAAGAAGACAAGAAATCCACAGAAGAAAGGAGGAGACAAAAACCATTTACACAGAGTTCATAACTGCTGCAATGAACCCCCTTTAACTCTCATGCTTAAGCTGCATAACCAAATTATCTTCAGACCCACAGAGCTCCACTTTAAATTCAAGAGTAACCTCAAAAAAGCTGCTGAGAGAAGATGATCAAAAATAATCATCATAATACAATATTAACTGGTTGACTAATATTTTATTTTAATACATCACTTGACAGTTGAATAAGTTTCACTGAAAACGCACAACAAGCAGCATACCATCTCAACTACTTCCACCTCAGCCTCAATGCGTAGGTGATAGAGGAAGGTTGCCAGATCCTTCTTCATCTGGATTGAGTTATCCTCCATCTGGGCCACTGTGAAGATTCGCATCCCACACTTGCGCCACACCTGCGGAACGTAATCCAAAGAAAGCAGTTTGGCATGTAACAATATTCTCAGTGTAAGAATGGCTTTTTAGAACCACAGAAAGCCTACCTTGTGTTGGCGTAGGAGGAAGGGCAGCAGCATTAGCATCCCCCCATCATGGACAATCCACCAGACGTCGATGTAGCCCTCTGTGCAAGGCTCACTATTGCTGGGGAACAGAGAGATATTTTTGGGCACCAGCAGGGCTAGGTGGGCTGCTGTGGTTACCCGCACTGTGTCTGGAAGGACGAGAGGAGGCGCTGTTAGCCTGCTAATTCTGAAAGAAAATCTGAAATCATGAGATCAGGAAAAGAACAGGGTCCTCTAGGCATTTTCCTCTGTCACATCTAACTTAGTCAACTAATTTGACAGTGCAGGATTATTTTTCATGCTCCCTGACTCACTGATAAAGGTCTTCCAGGCCTGAGGGTCCTCGCTCTGCCTCCAGGTATGAGGCCAGCCCATCACCACAGTATTAGGTTTCATTCCACCCAGGCCGCTGGACTGGATCATGTGGCTGATGCCTTCACGTGGCTTCTGAGCTATGATGCACTGACAGAAGCCCTTCACACGCTCCTTATCCATCAGGTGCTTTAGAGTCTGCGATAGGAGGAATAAATGCTGCAAACTAAGTTTTCCTTTTATCATTTCTATGAATTCTCCAGGACTAACCTGAGATTTGAGAACTTTCTGTTATCTGAGGCTAACCGAGGCTGCTTATTGACTAGGCTTTACATGACACAAACACTCTTCCATGATTTGTGACCGCTGTGAACTTGTAAAGACATTCACACCTGTTCAGCAGCAAGGGCCTCTCCATAGCTTTGTAGGAAGTTGCCAGAGACGACGGTGCCAACGATGGTCAGGCCCTTTCCCGCCTTCAGCTGGTTGGCAAACGTCAGCAGACGGGGAGACTTGACGTGGGCGTCTTCGTCCAGTTTTAGCAACACCAACAGCTGTGGCCTGGAGAAGAAGGAAGGCAAGTAGTGTGGGTTAATAAGAGCATAGCTTTTGCTATGAACAGGTTCATCAGCAGAATTATATTCAGAAGTGAACCCAATCAACACATT